AWWAAGAAACGAAGCCGATGCTATRATGAAAATACCTTTTTAGTTTTCTTGACCTGGGTAGCTTTGCTATCTGGTCTTATGGTATCTCTCCTTTTTGTTGATAGCTTGACTGCATCCTGACCGTGACAAATACTTCATTTTATTACGCCTCTTAATCATAAAAAATCAATAAAAAAGGCGCAAACACTCAWACGATTCGTTATTAACTTAAGCTTACTTTTGGTTTCGTCGTGCGCAACTTTCCCCAGACGTTGCGTTTCGGTTTCAAACTTCCCAAAGACCCATCGACAAGCTCTTTTAAATCCAGCACAACTTCACCAACATTTTGATACGGTATATGTGCCGGAGTGTAGAAACCACAAGAGCGTTGACGAACATGTCTATGATATTTAGTTCTCCAAGCGTTTTTAGGTCTCTCTGGCTTGTAGTATTGACCTGTGCGAATTTTGACCTTGTTTTCAACGTGAACAAACGGCTCGGGATGCTTAAAAGTCTGTTTTAAATTCTTAACAATTTCCGTCGGCACCTGCTGCTGATGGTGCACTGTTGAGGCAATATCAGCAAGCTTTAACATACTGGAAAAAGTATGATAATGTGGAGAAAAAGAACTACAAAACAAATGCAAAGTTCAAAAARGCTTGAAGAAAAGAATGTTTACTTACTTCCAGTCGTCATAGAGACACCACAATACAAATCATGACGTCACAGCCTCGTCTTCASGTTACAACGCATGCGCAATAAAAGCCCAAATGTTGCTTGAATTCGAGTTGAAATAAGCTTAACTTGACGGAGCTTGTTTTGACTTTTTTATATGGTCTTTTCCAAGAAATATTTCTTTRTACGACTGTTTTAAGCGGTCCATTTGGTTTTGGAGTTCACAAATGACAGGGCATAKGCAAAAGCGCGGGAGATTGACTTAAGTGCGAGAACCCGCGAAATTTAAAAAAAGGAATGCAAGAAGAAACAAAYGCAAGGTAAGCTTGGGGGTTCGGGAAACCTTGTAACAACAAGCTSTGAATTAAGCGAATCCAGAGAAAGAAAGAAACTACACAAATAACACAAAGAAGCATGCAAAACGATTTGAATTCTTTGRTAATTTTATATATTATAAAAMTGATAAATGCAGTATGTAAAATTTCATTAACATTGTTCTCAAACCAAAATGCAAGTACAGTATATCTCTTCAAACTACCCTGTTATTTCTTTATCTGAAGAGGTAGGCTTATTAACTTGCCATGAAAGATAAGCATTCCATAAAACTGCTACAAGTTGAACTACTCCTATTCTATACTGGAATGGCACAATGGTAAAGTTAACCATCTGCACTGCTGGCCAGACTTTATATCCATTCAAAAGCGTTTCTACATAGCGTTCATTCAGTTTTTTTTTCAACTCTTCAAACGTTCCACCAGCAAAAGTATTATTTATCCAAAAGAAAGCTACACTGACACACGGAGCAAATAAAAGTTGATCTGGAAGCATCTTTTTAAAGCCGTCTAGTACAGGTCGAGAGGTTGAGGGCACAAATCGTTCTAGTGTTAAATACCAACTTCTGAGGATTGGCCCAAGRCATAGACCAACTGTGGCCATTCTAAGTGTCCTTTTGAAGTCATGATGCGCTAATCCTCTTTTCTCTACAACTTGCTGTGAAATGATGTCACCAGCACTTACGATTACTCCTGTAAAATAACCATAATTTACAGACTATCTTGTATTTTAAGTGTGAGAATTAATGAAATAGTTATAAGATGTCAGATAGTCGATTGGATACAATTCCCGAGGTAGGGGTGGGGAGATACCAGTGCTATTACTTAAAGGAAGGGGAGAGCCCCCCTCCCCCCTTAAAAAATAAATACAATATAATTCAGTAGTGTCATTGCATTTGTGTTGACATGACAACATTACAATGATCACTAGTATCCAGCCCTTTTTACGTCTTTTTCCTTCTGCACACATACCATTACACAGATTAATTATTCATTCACAGGCAGCCCAGCTGCTGAATAACTGTGTGTTATGAATTAATAGGAGCATCACACATCAATAGAAATGCGATAAAGTTTGCCTACTTTGAGTTCAACTTAAAAAAAAATATTTCTTTAGAGGAAGGAACAGATGTGAAAAAGACAATCTAAAAAAAACCCAGTTCCAATTGCGCCAAAATTACACGAAATTTTATTAAGAGSATACTGGTACAGTAAACATACTGATGTACAGTACCCCTGCATTTACATTATTTATATTGCCTGTGATAAACAACGATATAAATTAGTTTTCGGTGACATTTAAAAAGATCGTGACCATTCTTCTGTTCACTGCGTTGCTTTTTGCTATCTCTCATCTGAAATATCGTGAAATATCGTCAWTWCGAGCAAAAAAAATCGCGTGACTATATATCATAAGAATTTGTAGTCAAGGCAGGTACCGGGTAGCGAGTGAACATCGATAATATATAACGAAAAAACTTAATTTTCTTATCTTATCGAATTCAAATTTATATGTACATTGGCTTCTCTTTTAAATAAGTATACCAAATACCTGAAGTAATCGTTTGTGACTTCCAAGGATCGGTTACCAGCCATCGCTGATACATTCTCCACATTCGAACCGCCATCTTGATACGACTGCTGTTGCGGGATCGCTGTGGCGTACTGTGACTGTGGTAACCTGGATTCAAAAAAAATACAAACACCAAATTCCCAGAATTTAGAGATTTTTGATGTGTTTATTCTTGCCGAAAATAAAAAAATATATATTGTTTAAAGGCTCATTTGTAGAAGAGAATTATTTCAAACAGGGAAATTCTTTGTCTGAGAGGTAGCTAATTTTAAAGTCTATCTTTCATGGGATACGTCATAACCCTCCATCACTGCGACGCGATTGGCCAGGATTAGGTATTTACCCGAACGAACTTTCACTTTCGATTTATTTATGAGGCTAATTATTCCAATCTTGAGACGGTACTCGCAGGCCTATCAAAGCATGGTGACTCCGTTAAAGTTGCCGAAATATAAGGTAAGCAGAAATCGAATCTTTGATCGCATATTTTGTGATAGAGAATGATCATTCGTTCTATCATCGAATCCTTGGTATTATTAACTTACTAGTAAAATTTAAGTCGTCTCTTCTTCCGCCAGGTCGAGCTTCATGTGCATCTTGACGGAGCCATTCGTTTAGAAACGATTATAGACCTTGCAAAGTAAGTCTAAATCTCTGTTTATTCATTAACAGTAATTCTTTACAATATGAAGAATCTTAGAGATCATTGCAAATAGAAACCTATTATAAACATTTCTGTTCTATTTACAAACCTCCATTTCCTCTTTCGCTTTTGTTCGTATCTTTGTCTGTGCATTGAGACCTATAATGATTGTTTTTTCCTGAAATATAACTGCGTTTTCCTGTCACGTGATTAATGTGACCTTGAGGTGAAAGATCACGTGACTGTGTCATCTAAACAACTTGGTGTTTGAGGGGATTCCCAATGTACTAATTTGTGCACGTTGTCAAGGTCACAGGAAAAACAGGAACAAACCTGTACTTTTGCAGAAATATCAAGTAGCATGAACATAATTCATGATCCTTATAAGGCTTATAAGTGTACTGTGTAATATAATATTTAATGTTATATAAACAAAAACCTCACATAAAAAAAAAACATTTTGAGTGTTAAAATATTGTTGTAAAGTTTAATAAGAAATATTGTATGAATCATCTTTTGTGGCCATTGTTTATCAATGCAGTTGTTATTTGATTTTTTCTTAACAGACAAAAAGGTATCGAGTTGCCAGCATATTCACCTAAAAAGCTTCATCCCTATGTTTCTGTTGCWTTGGACAAGATTTCATCTGATTCTGACTTGTCTTTRACTAATTTTCTCAAATGTTTTGCAATATTTATGCCAACAATCATGTGAGTATATTTAGTAGTTGTTTTGCTTAATAATAATTTATTCCATTTTAAACTAAACATGCCAATAAATTTTTTGCAAGTTATTTCTAATTACTGGTATTTTTTTTTACTTTGTATTTAGAGGAGATGAAGGAGCAATTGAAAGAATTGCTTATGAGTTTTGTGAAGACCAATCCAATAATGGAGTATTTTACTTTGAGGCAAGATATGCACCTCACCTACTAGCAAATTGTGGTTTTGATGRTATTAAGGAAACTAAAGACTTRCATGTAACCCCTGAGAAAGTTGTCAAAGCTGTCAACAGAGGTTTTAGAAGAGGAGAAGTGGACTTTAATGTGATAGCGAGGTCTATTTTGTGCTGTATGAGGCCTAAACCTGGTGAGTATAATTGCTTAGGTTCTGAAAGATCATTCCTAGTAAAGGATCACTAACTTTATACTGCCTGTTAAGCCTAGTGTCAAGTAGGGCAGAAACAAAATCCTTCCATTTTCCTGTCTTTTCTGGGCCTTAATGCATGAAGGGAAGAAATATTTCTTTCCTTTTCCACTCTATGGAGTCCAGTGTAGAGCTATTCTGACATTTTCCTTCCTGCCCTTTCTGAGGACGTGTCCCAGCCACCTCAATATCCTTCTCATAAGAATTTATCTCATATTCCTTTGCTTAGACTTCCATAGTTATTTACTAGTTATTTTAGTAGCTCTTCATTAGAGATTTTGTTTGGCCAAAATATTCTTAGAATTCTCCATAGGCTCCTTGTATGGAAGACGGAAAGTCTCTTGATGTCTTCCTTTGTCATCCGTCAGCACGACTTATCCATATACAAACAGCAACAAATTTAGTAAAGGATTATATACATGTAATTGTGCTCTTTTTTATTAGAATGGTCTCTTGATGTCCTCAAGCTTTGTGAAAAGAATCAGGAATATGGTGTTGTTGGAATTGATATTGCTGGTGATGAGGCAATTGGTGAAATACCAGCAGCAAAGGAACATGTAATGGCATTTGAGGTTAGCWRTGATTACKTCTTTGCTATATTTTACACCATGATAATTAGGTCCTTGAAAGAAGAGCAGTTAGTTTCCTTACAACTAGTATGTTAGGTTTTGGTCAAGCAATGACTGTAATGAGAATGAGTGCACTAGGACACTGAAAAGTAAAGGAATTATTAATATTTTTATAATTATTAGGAGGCAAGAAGACTTGGTATACATAGAACAGTCCATGCTGGAGAGGCTGGTCCTGCAGCAAGTGTTAGAGAAGTACGTTTTGTTCTTTAGATGAATCGATAAACAAATGGAAGGATGGATGAATGAATGAACATATCAGAATTAAAAGGGATAATTAAATGGATGAGTGAATGGAACTGTGRTTGAATGGGATCAACAAGTAATTGTGAATAAATGCAAAATAAATTATGTTTTCTAGTATGTTGTTTATGTTGTTTTTAACTATTTTTTCAAAGGCACTAACACAACTTCATGCTGAAAGAATTGGACATGGATATCACATTTTAGAGGATCCTGAATTGTATCAAGAAATCATAGAGAAAGAAGTACATTTAGAGGTAAAAATATACTTCACATTAGATCTTCTAGTACCCCCTTCTGGTGTTCATATATCATTATTATTTTTAACATTTCTCATTCTTTCTTGATTCATGCATTCATTCTTTTTTTTTCATATACTCATTAAAAATCTATGATGATCATTTGTTCACTTATGTATTTATTTCTCATTAATTCACTCATTTATTAGCACTTCATTAACAAATTAATCCATTCATTTAACAATTTGTTCTAATTTATTATTGGACCTTGCCAGGTGTGTCCTACATCTAGTCTTCTTACTGGAGCTGTACAGCCACCTTTTACCATCCACCCTGTTAGAAAGTAAGTTTATTGATACACTAAATTGTATTGAAAGTTATTAGAACAACTTTATAAACTTAAGACAACTTCTTGTTCTTTCTCTGTCATTTTAAAGTGGTTCACTTGTTAATTATACGAATTACTTTCCAGGTTTGCAGAAGACAGATTAAACTATTCCATTAATTCAGATGATCCACTTATTTGTGATACCAACCAAGACTGGCCAATAAATAAATAAATAAATTGTTAGAAAGTAAGTTTATTGATACACTAAATTGTATTGAAAGTTATTAGAACAACTTTATAAACTTAAGACAACTTCTTGTTCTTTCTCTGTCATTTTAAAGTGGTTCACTTGTTAATTATACGAATTACTTTCCAGGTTTGCAGAAGACAGATTAAACTATTCCATTAATTCAGATGATCCACTTATTTGTGATACCAACCAAGAAAAGGAATACAAAGTTTCTTTTATTAATATTGGATTGAATGCAGCCGAACTCACTAGAGCTGTAAGTAGTTTAAAAAATGGCAAAATGATATAAAAACATTTATTGTAAGCAAGCAACCAAGAAAGAATGCTGGAATAAGGCATATTATCAGGCAAGCTCAAAGCATAAGCAAGCAGTATGTGCAAAAGCTCAWGCAAGCAAGCATGCAATCCAACAAGTATGCRARTAAGCATGCAAACTCTCATGGAAATAATCAAGCTCGCAAGCATGCAATTGGGAAGCAAGCAAGCAGTTGAGTTGATTGAGATCTCATTATTTTTACAGACATTCAATGCAGCAAGAGCATGTTTCCTACCAGAAAATGAGAAACAAGATCTTCTAGAATACCTGAGAGAAATTCATGGAATTACAGGGTCAAATGAATACTCGCAGCCAGAACAGCCCCAAACTCATGAGCACATCTTCTAAGGGTGACCAAAATGTGCCCTGRCCCCCCTCCCCCCTGCAAGTACCTTACTCCTAGTCACCTTCCTCAACCTCAGTGCCCAACTCCTGAAGTGCCCTAGTCTTCCTCTCAGCACGCATCTTCCCCCAGCCTCTATGTAGTGCCCTAACCTTCATCCTCAGTCCTTTAAAATACAGCAACTAAGATGTCTGATTATATTTAAAACTGGAAAACTTAACAAATATTTTTAAAATGAGCTATTAATAGACTCTAGGTATTTCTAGTGATGGAATGGTATTTTTAAAATTCTTAATTTATAGACGGTCTTAATTTATAGATGGTCTTAATTTATAAATTGAATCTTGAAGAAAGATGTAAATAGCAAATTTGGTTGTATCTTGAAATTATGTTATATTTCAGTTGTTATTGAAGTGTTATAGACTGAAGTGGTTGTACATGTAAGATTGAATAGTATTCATTGGTTTTTGTATGGATTTTTATTGTGGAAATGCAATGCTATTTTTCTGGTGTTTTGATTTGATCATGTATGCAATGTGTTTTTGTTTTGGTAATTAAATGTGTTTTTTGTCAACCTTGAAACTATAGGTTCACTTGAGATTGGTTGATAACAAACAATAAGTTTTAAGTCTCTATTAATTAAAKCCTGTTGCTATTCTTTCACGGCTTATGTAAAACCATTTTAATTAGGTTACGCACTACACAATGAATGTAATAATAGTTAGGTAATATATTCCATGATTATTAAAAGATAAATCAAAGTATTCTGAATGCTTTTATTATTTTCTTGTGCTTATAACAATAACATASTATGCAATGATATCTAATAAAAATAAATATAACATAAATTAAATTGCAAAAGCTTTAAATACAACAGTGCAATCATTATGTATCTCTACTCAAAGGATGATATTATAGCTTTCTAAAGTCAATAATRTGTGTTATTAACTAATACTGTGTCCCAGTATAATAAAATTATTGCTTAAATGAAGAGAAGCTGTTTACAGTGAAGAAAAACAGGAGATAGGAATGTTTTTTTCTTTAAGTTTAAGACATTGACACATCCACTTAGCAATTTAGCMTTCAAAATAATCAATATTTTGCTTTATATGACTGCATAATAACTGTTTCCTTAGTATTAACTATTTTAATTGTTGTTATACTTAACATGGGTGGATTTGCTTGACATAATAATATATTACACAAGTCGTTATACTTGTGTGGAATAATTTTTAATGACTCAAACACGGTTCTTTGGTCTCTTTATCTACAATAAATAGATTTGTTCTTGTACTGTTTGTTATCCAGAAGTGTTMTCTTTTTCTGGATTTTCATCCTTTTTTGCATTTTCATCGTCGTCATCGTCGAATTTCTCTCTGACRTCATCAATCAAATCCCCRATGAAGCCTCCTAAGCCAGAGYTTTCTCKCTGGACCTCATCTTCTKTGGTCTTGTCCTTGTCTTTATCCTGTAAAAGAAATTAATAAAATAAATAAACAAACCAAAAAACTTGTCATAAAATTAAGAATTTTCAAACTAAGAATCATCAATTTCTGGAAGTTTTCTCAATTTCTGGTAGTTTTCTCAATTTCTGGTAGTTTTCTCAATTTCTGGTAGTTTTCTCAATTTCTGGAAGTTTTCTCAATTTCTGGAAGTTTTCTCAATTTCTGGTAGTTTTCTCAATTTCTGGTAGTTTTCTCAATTTCTGGTAGTTTTCTCAATTTCTGGTAGTTTTCTCAATTTCTGGAAGTTTTCTCAATTTCTGGAAGTTTTCTCAATTTCTGGTAGTTTTCTCAATTTCTGGTAGTTTTCTCAATTTCTGGTAGTTTTATCAGGTTAAGCGAAATAATAGAAGCAGATGAGAATGATAATAAATCCTTTGGACACAAAAGAAAAGTTAAAATAGTAGACTTTCAACTTGTTGTTTTCTTTTGCTTTTCTTCAACTAGCACCCACTAGGTACTACTCTACCCTTTGTTATTTGGTTTATGGAAAATCACTGTAGCATTAAGTTTTGTAGCTAATACTATCTGCCTAACCAACCTTTATCTACATCAAATGACGTGTAATGAGAGTAGGCTGGAGGGTTGTCCATGACCTGGTTAAGTGAAGTGTAATGATCATGAAAAAATGCCATTGTGTTGTTTACATACAGTTCCTGGTCAAATGATGTGTACTGCATGAAAATTGACATGTCTTAATACTAAACTACCTATTAATGACCTATATTATATAAGTCTTGGTGAACCGAGAAGTTTTTTTTCCTTGAGGGGCTGCTTGACTACTAAGATTGGATATAGTGCTATCCATTGCTGGGTAAATCTTATCTAACTGCTAGTAATCCATACACAATCTTTCAATCTCTCCCACCCCTTATGCAACCATGCCCAGAAGGCAAGGAATGAGAAGATTCAGTTCTTACATAAGGACTCCTTCACACACAAAGCACCAGTAAAATGACAAGAAAATCAACTCCAACATGACATGCATGAAAAGATGACAGAGATATATAATATATTTTGGATAAACAAAAAAACAAATAAAATTGAGCGGAAAGAGTGACTTGATGGAAGCTTTCTAAATTAGTGGTCACCAACACAAGGAAAAGAAAAGTGTGTACTTACTTCATTTTGGTTTTCTTGATTGTTTTGTGAATTGTCTTCAACTTCCTCTTCATCTACCTCTTCTGCTGGCAGCTGATCAATCGGTTTGTCTTCTTTGATTTCTATGTAAAACACATTGAGATTTAATTATTATTTATCAAGCTGTTGGTACTTTATGAGGTACACAATATATTCAAATTTTTTTTTAAACTGACAAAATCAAACAAATATTCAAATTGTCATGTCTAAGTAAAATGTTCAAATACAGTGCACGTCACATAAGCATGAAACAATTCTTAATATGTATTGCTAAAATAATAATATTTAGTTATCAACTAACTAAGAATTCAACAAAGCATAAACACAATGCCAATTATTTAAATTCCTTTGTAGCATTGTTCTCAATTCTTAGTTAGTTGATAACTTTAGCACTACATAGTTAAGAATTGTTTCATGCTTATGTGACTTGAACTCTATTCTCTCTGTAATTCTCTATACCTCTATCATCTTGGACTTCTCTTGCACTCTCCTGGTTCTCTCCACTTGCTTGATAGACCCCCTGATGGGATTCCTGTGGGGTTGGACTGCGGTCTTTTTGGAAGTGATCAGCWACCTTGTCTGGTAGTTGACTGATAAGGTTTTCTGGTGATTTACTGAACAGATCACCTGGTTGACCAATGAGCTCCTCCTGAACCTCCTCCGTTATGGCCTCTTGGAACTCCTCTGTTGGTTTTCTTGATGACGAATGGTCRTTACGTGAACTTGCTTGACTGTTTGATGATGATGAAGATTTTCTTTTAGAGTTTTTAGAAGCTGTGTTCTGGGACTATAAATTGAGATATGTTATTGTTTAATGGTGGTAAGTAGCGTTAAACTAGTTTGAGCGGCGTCGGTGTTTCCAAAGAAACAGTTATGTAAAAAGATAAATTTAACACCGTAAAAAAAGTATGTGAAATAACTTACTTAATTTAGTAATTTACTTCACATACTTTTTTTTACGGTGTTATATTAATTTATGTTATCGTTTGTTGATGACATTGCATGGATGCAGAAATGAAGAATGATGCATGTTGAGGTAGTGGCTCAWGTGTTATCAGCTCAGCAACACAGCACACTTCAACATATTAGCTTAAAATATGTATCATTGTGAGGTTAAGCTGTGTTACCATGGGCAACTAATAAAATTTATTCATATCATTGTCTTTATACCTTGGATCTGTTTGATTTACTTTGTTGTGAGCCATTATTTGCATCCCTTCTTTGTGTCTTTGTTGGTGCACGACTGAAAGAAAAACATATATTCCATAAAGTAATTTTAATTATTTAAAAAACAGGTGGATTCACAAATTATCAGGGGGCTGTCCCAATACTCCATCAGTCCCCTGATGCATATTATGTAGTCAATGATCATTAATGGTCATATTTTACCTTCTAGGTGACAACAAGCTATCATCACTGTAAGCAACTTCCTTGAATCTAATGATTGCAAGTAACAAACAATACTAGTCAAGGTAATTTTTACAACATAATAGTGTAGATATAAAAAGAAGTGCTTCATCAATATGAAGGTTGAACTTCTTTAATCCTTAAATAAATTAATTGCCACTAGCGAGCTAATCTGGCAATGGGGCGGCCAGCGGTGGCTGGCCTAGAGAACAATGACAGGCAATGGTAACATAATAATAAGTTGATCAATATGATAACATATCAAGCTGAAAGTTGATCAATATGATACCATATCAAGCTGAAAGTTGATCAATATGATACCATATCAAACGTTGAAGTTTGCTCTTACTTTTTACCGTGTCCTACTGCCACATATTGCCCTCCATTTTCCAACTCTGAAGTATCTTTGATCTCTTTACCATCCATCGTAAACAGCCTAAACCAAAAAGAACAGATAAATATTTACTTAGAAATTAACACCATTTCCATACCAGTATCTCATGCTGAATGTATAAACGTCTTACCAGAAAACAGCGCCTGTCTGGAGACGAACTTTCTTTGTGACTATCCTCAAAACCTGACCATAATAAATATTAATATACTGATTTTGCTTGGGCTGTCACGAACTGAATTCATGAAAGTAAGTGTCTATACTCACAGTATCCAATGAGATAAGATCTCTTTTGTCAAGCAACATCTTTAYAGATGGATAAAGGTCATCCCCATTGCGAAATACACTATTATAGGAAATATYATTAAATATTATTTACACTTAACATAATCTAATTGTAATACTTAAAAGTCATAAATGATGATTACTGCAACAATTAATATATTTKCTTGGGAAGTTATAATAGTTGAGTAAATGCAGTTGTACCATGAAATATTACTAAGGTAAATAGTGATTATTATAGTGTGTATTTGCTGACTAATTATAGTGTATGTCAACTGAACTGGAACAGTTTATATTTCTTTTATCTCTTTTGTTTCATACACTGTTCTGGTGTAGGCTAAATGCATGCTAAATATATTATTCAAGTCTGTGCCCATCARATTATCGACCCTTTGGCATAAAAAACACATAATGTTGCCACAAAATAAACCACATATTAAATAGTTAATATACATACTGTATAGTTTTGTGGCTGTGCGACTGGGCCTCAGCTACTTTYCGCGCTCTTGCAGACATCTGTAATCTACTGTGTTTAACTGGAGTGATCTATTATCAAAACAAATATATTTAATATGAATAATTGTAAAATGCAGCATTTTGATGATTCCAGCATGACACACACAGCTAATATTTGGCGAGAATAATGATAGTAATACTGCAATGCAGGGCTATAGCTACAAAGAGGATACTTCAGCTTTTATAAGTTCTTGGCAATAAGGCAAGGTTTATTTTAGTTACAGAATAATGTCTATGTTTTTAATTTTTTTTCACGATTATAACTTATTTTTTGCTCCATTATATTTCCTAAAGGAGAAAAAACTGCTGAATGTTTACGTAAAATGTATCTCTCRATGTCTTCATTTATAAAATCAACATCATATGTTTATACCCAGTGCCAAAAAAATTCAATTTTCTTCACAGAAAGGGAAACCATTAAAAACGTTAATCCTCGCAAAATCGGTATATTTTCACAAAAGCGTAAATTATTAAGTACGAAGCCTTTGTTTAATTAATTTTCTTCAAGCTGCATGATATTTTCGATCATAACAAACCTCATCACCAAGGGCATTTTAAATTAAAACAACATTTAACTTAATTAATTATTAACTACATTTTTTAAGCTCGAAAATGTCGAAAGTTTGGAAAACTGAGTTGTTAAGTAAGCAAACTGGATTCWTAGGGATTTAAAATGTCAAGAAACACTTCAATGTTGAACCAATATTTAGAAAGACATCGTAAATTAGACGAGTACACAATATCGAATAAGACTTTGATATTTGATTCATCTGATCAAATATCACGAGTAATTGAGCACGATAATTCAGTAATTTACCTCAATTTCTTTCCGTGGTGTATTCTTGCTTTGTATATCTTTGATTTCGYTATAACTGAGAGTTAAGTGAAAATCGTTTAGCATGTAGTTAGAGAGTTCTATATAGCGAAAGTGTGTCAAGTGCTTTATCAACAAAACACACATACCGTTGCTTGGACAAAATGAAAAGATATACTTACGGTAGAGGAACGAATCTTTCAGATCCCATAGCTACATAACATCCTCCAGCTTCTAGACTATCTAGCTGTTTAACAGTGTGTCTTCCAGTTGGTGTTTTGATAACTCTAGCAGCTCGACTCATTCGTGTCTCTTTGGTCACTTTATCCAACAGGGCGCCCATGGTCCGAATCTGTCGCTTGTTAACGACAAGCTTTTTACCAGAAAAGTTAGCGTCTCCATTCTTGAAAACTGTTACTATTTGCGAAGCCATGTCCCTTTTTGAGGCTCCAGCCTCGTTTGGCTGTTCTAATTGCGCTGAGAAGCGAGTAAATTAACTTTGATGAAGACGTGCAATGCTCTTGTTCACCTCTTGTTCATATCTTTAGCCAACTGATTGTGACGTCACTAATTTCATAATTAGCTGATAGCTTGTTTACCTTAGATACGTACATAGCAACTTCATCGCGGATATTTTCAAACATCAAAAGTTTACAATTTTAATTCATTTTTTCGAATAAATCGACAACATCATTTAAGAAAAATTGAAGTTGACAGAATTTTCATTGTTTCAGTATAGAAACATATACTGTTTATTCCCAAGAGATACTAATGAAAACGTTTACCGACCCGGATGAACGCGCGCCTGTGAAAATTCATATTGTGGAACAGCTGTGGGCTTAAAGATCTGTTTTTAGATCGAACACGAGTTAATTAGACGTTTCTTTTGTTTTAAGTGAAGTTTTTTTCTTTTTGAAATTACTCTCTTATAGATAACAAAGAGAGAGCCTCGCTGACCTAAGTGTGCTGTTTTCGTCGTGATTTTGACGTGGATCCCTTTTCAGTGACGTTTTACAAATCGACACATTTATTTCATAGTTAAATGTCCTTTCTTTATTTAACAAAACAACACATTTTATTATAAAGCTTGGGTCATGTGCGGAATCTGGCGCGTGCGTTGACTCAGTCGTGGGCCAGTTTATTGTGAACAAATTTGTTCAAAATAGACGCACTTAATAAAAAAAAACATTAACGCGAAATACTTAAAAGTGCTTTAAACTTTTCTGTTCAACATTTTACAAGTGATGTCGAGATTTCGGAATAAATACGTGTGGATGAGCGCATTTTTATGGCAGTTCGCAAACTGATATATTTAACGCACTCCTATTTAATTGTTGTCAAAAATGATACATTGGAGAGAATCCATGCTTTTCTAATGTTTTCGCATGATCAATTGAATTTAAAAGTCTGTACAGATTTATAAAAGTTTTGATAGCACGTCATTTGACAGTGGATTCATCTCTTGACTCCAAGGCGTGCACCTTCTCCTTCAGTGACCACACCTCAACCTTCACCCCTTCATGAAAAAATTCTAGATCCGTGCCCTGCTTGATTCTTAAAGATCTGTTCTAAATAAGATTCTAGCAGTCTATCAGTCAGTGTAGTCTACAGCAGATAGATTACAGAGAGACTCTTTTAGATTTCGTCTTTAAGTTTCATTCCAAATGGTGACAACCATACAATTCTATTTTCATTGTAATCCATTTCCATTTCCATTTAGTTGGAACAATACGGACAACATTGGCGATGATAGGAGGGCTGATGGCATTGTASACGATGTTTTTRTTTTCACTATTTCCCTCGAATATTTTAGTTGCATTCCCTTCTTTAAAGTCAGTAACGTTCRTGGTACTGTTGCTGTACTGGACGGTATACCTCTTGACCCAGGCGTTCCAGYTCTTGTTGCCTTGCGTTGAAATRCCTGCTATCTTCATCACTTTATCGAAAACGATTTGTAGCCACGTATTTGGAACAGCAGGATGTTTAGCTATCCAACCACGTTCATAGTCAAGTCTCGCTTGCCATGGSCCTCGCTTGTAWTGTCGATKGTAATATGAAGAGGCCGTGAKCTGAGAGTCATTGATAAGCCCACTTTGCATCCCTAGCGGTTCTGTGCATGGTACTGAGTTGCTACTGTTCTCGCTGCATCCATATAGCTCAACCCTCATTGCAACTCTGCCCTTTTCGTTCCATAGTGATGGTTTGATTCGTACGACGGACGCAACAATAGGAGGATCAATGGCGTTATAAACTATGCTGTTATGATCTTTATTTCCCATGAAAGTTTTACTCCCGTTCAAATAATCAATAAACAACCCACTGCTAGAGTTTAGGTATTGAACAAGAAATTCTCTCACCCAGTGGTTCACCCAGCTACTGTGCCCCTGCGTCGCRATACCAGTGATCTTCTTGATTGACAATAAATCGATTTGTAGCCATTGATTTTCGTTATATTGTGACACCCACGCTTTAGAATGGTTCAGTCTGGATTTTGAAGGCTCGAATGTAACAGCAGCCGTGTAATATGACGASGCAGTCACTTGTTTGTCTTTGATGAGCTGGCTTTGCATTCCMAGTGCATGTGAACATGTCTCTGAAATGGAAAAGAGAAGAGCGGAATTAAAAAAAAAGAACATCAGCCAGTTTTTGACTTTGACTTGTTTCTTAAGATGTAGCATTCGCTATACGAAACATGGGCGTAGCGAGAGAGTAGAGTTGGTGGTAGGGAAGGGTGAAGGGCGTAGGTCGATGACTTGTTGAGCGCGCCCTATTGCCAAATTGATTTCTTTAATCCTTTCGATAGGTAGCGATGCTAGTGTTGTTTTTATGTCATTATTCCACAAATATAAATTAGGACTTAGTTTCTCCAATGAGTCTGGTGATGAAGTGTGTGATGGTCATGATCACTAGTCTTCCTTTCCCTAAAGTGCCAGTGTTATTACTATGTGCAAAATGAAGTGCCGATGACCAAAAAGATGATGTGTGCTACTCCTTAATTTTTAAAATATTTTTGTAATCATATATTTTTTTCTCATCTGTCTTGTTTAAGATAAAATATCAACCCMAAAAARGTCCTTGAAAAAWAAAGATGACTAGTTGATGTCTATTACCTTCGTATTCTTTACATTCATAAATCTCCATCCTCAATCCTACTGCTTTGCGCCATGTCTTGGGATACACTTTCACATATCTTGCTTTAATGGCTGGTTTAAGATCGTTGTAYACAATAGTGTTTGCATCTTTGTTTGCTGGGAATACTTGTCCATTGTTGTATGATGTATAAGGGGTGCTACCATTGGTGCTGGTAGCGAGACTGTACGATGTAACCCATTGGTGATACTTATGATGACCTTGTGTTGCAATACGGGTTATCTAGAACATAACGAAAAGTTATATTACAGTCAGGTGTAGTGCTTAAGTTTGTTTGCTTGTTTGTGCTTGCTGGAAGGCTCTTTGCTTTGATACGGTGTTGTCTACTATTCTTGCTTGTTTGCTAGCTTTTTATTTCTTTAGCTTCTTCATATCTGCTATATATGGTAATCTTACCTTATTTGGAAGTTCGTTTGGATTGGTTTTAACGATTTTCWTGACWTTTAAAGCTTTAATTCATCCGAAACTTGCAGATATYATAGCGAAAGCACTTCTGAGCAATCGGYCATTTTGTTGTTGTTTTTTCCTATATATTTGCTAATGGAAGCCCAAAACTAAAATGCACAGGGACCCCGCGGGAATGATATACAATTCTCAACCTCATTCCTAGTGCTTCTCTGCTCGCTTTTTTCAAAATGGCGGACAGAGAAAAAGGACCTGGGAACGAGGTTGATACAATTCWTTGGTATTTATAATTTTACCATTGCAATCTTGCCAAGATTTATTTTTAGCCAATGGTATTTGTTCCTGTTGTTTGAATACCAGCCTCCCGGGCCGTTAAGTCTCGCCTGATCTCCATAGTACGAATCCTTATCTATCGTAAAGTAGTATTTTGAGATAATGGAATTGTTTTGGATTCCAACAGCCACAGACTGCTTGCATAGAACTAGATAAAAATATCATAAGATTTCTTCAGTATAATGGCATGATAATATTGTTGTCATCGTCATCATCTTGATCGCGGGATCATGATCTTGAACGGTATTTTATTCTCCCCAGCTCTCTCTCCGAACCCCTCACAATTCGATCCCAGTGCTACGCGTTAGTTACTAGTATCATTGTTATCACTATATCATCATCATCATCATCATCATCATCATCATCATCATCACTGTTATTTTTGCTTTGAGGATAAAACTAATTCAAAATACGTCAGATTCATTAAGGCGATGAACTGAGAACGAAGCTAACTTTGAGAACCAATAAAATTTGTTTGAAACTTGCCATTATTGAAATTTCTCAGTTGTACAGAGGACGCGGGTAATTATTTATTACAGACGGTGTTTATTGGCTGAAAGCTACTTAGTTGACTCTCCATGATCCCTTTTGGTTTCAGCTTCAATGTTATGGCCTTTATAAACCTGTCAACTGTTTTAACTATTACTTTTGTAATAAAATTGTTTTACCTTGGTCGACTGGAGTCGTAGTAGTTTTCTGCAGACAAGCAAAAGAGATTAATAAATCATTGTATTTCACCGTATTCGTTGATAAGAAGTTCGTGTACCTTCATATCGACGTAGACAAAGCCTTGATTCCGTCGAAGGTCTTTCCATTGTGAAGAGATGACAGCTTTGTTCAACTCACAGCGTTGTGTTGCGCTTTCGTAATTGTATGTTGAACACCTTGAAACAAAGAAGTACAGCCATGATTTCACCAATTATTTTTAACATATCTGATATTAGGATTGCATGGCATTGCTGTTAATATCAGCATCATCATTATCATCGCTATCATCATCACTATCATCATCAACAGCATCGCCATCAATTTACCAGGGTACCTAGACCTTAGCTTAGCCATGTTTGTAAATGGAAAGGGCCATGCATGCCCAATACTGATATAGGATTTGCTCTGGTAAAATGAAGCAAACGTTTAGACTGTATCTACACTTTATATCAAGTTATTGTCATCTTCTTTATCATTATCATACTCAATATCATTATCATCACCTTTTCTCAAGGTAGCATTTGATCCTGCAAAGAGCCACTGTCTGTGCCCAGAACGCTTCAAGCACATGTCCGTGGAGACGAAAACCTTGCTTCATAAAAATGTCTTTGTCGTCTTGGCATTGACCTGAAACTGATGTGACAAATTTACAAGGTATGCCCCAATGAATACTAAACAAAGGCTGTTCGCCATAATTTTAAACTTAGCCTCAACCGAAGCTCGTACTATGAAAGGCTGTTCGCCATAATTTTAAACTTAGCCTCAACCGAAGCTCGTACTATGATCTCATTCGGCAAGTGACATTCGACGGTCTTGGTCGGGCTTAACTTTTTGTGGTTCTTGTTGTATTTTGAAAAAAAAAATCGCTCGCTTTTTAATCAATTTTCAGCTTTCCTTTTGGTTCTTTCGTCTGTCAGTCAAACAAAGTTCAATTGATTGGTTCTCAATAAGTTCTGTGAGTTAATTTGTTCACCCTGCATGAAGAATATAGCAATGAACTTGAATAACGATTCGTTGATGTTAGTCGTGTGCACCTGTCATTCCGTGAATACAGCGACGCATAAGACATTAATAATGATTTATGTAGTTTATATTCTTNCCCTTGTATGATCAGGTAAATTTGAATTGTGATTTTTGTGGACTAGAATGTATTTTCAAGTTTGAAAGATCATTCCTGCAATCAATTGTGCATGAAAATAATGTTAGTTTTAACTTCAGCTAGTACTTTGCTAAAATATGGTGTTTTTTTTAATTGGGGACTGTTCATTTTTTATCGGGGGGTGGGGGAGGGAAGGTGGCAGCTGATGATGTTAGAGCGGGGGGGAGGTATTCAAAATTATTATCCTATATTACTTGTATATTCAATCAGAAGTACATCACCTTCGTAAATCCAAAGTCTAAATGAATAAAATGTTTTAATTGATGATCATTTGCTTCTCTCGTGTTTTTCGAACTCCCACCGTGTTTATGTCAGAGGACAGAGACACGCGCGTCGTTTTATATTTCTTAAATATAAGAACATTTTCTCTTGATATATGGTGTCTGTCGGTACATGTGTCAAAACGCTTCGAATACGTGCGGACATAAAAATTAAAAGATGGTTTTAACTTGAAAGTTTCCGACACCTTTGAACAATTACTGAGTTGCTATAGCTTTGAAATAATTGCTTGTGAAATACTTGCAAAACTTGATATGAGATTATGGTAGGACTATTGCAATTATATTCTAATTCGCTCCCCCGCTCAACCGAATATAAAACATTTATCATGTAATAAATACACAGACTTATAGGAGTGTGTCCACACGATAGACGCGCGTGCCTTTATTAAACTTCGTTAACAAATTTACAATTGAACAGCTTATATATATAAAGTGCTTAAGTGTGGTGGTGCAAAAAAAAGACATCTTATCGGTTTAATAGTGTGCAGATAGTGCAGTGCTTCCACGTGTGCTACGTGCTTGTGATCTAGCAAAAAAAATGATGCCGAACTCGAAACCTCTTTAATTATGCTATTACTTTTTACAGACTAGAAGTACGAATCTCCTTCTTCTTTAGTTAGCTATTCGCTCTGGTTAACTTCCATATGAATAAAATCCCAATCGAAACGTACGCTTTATGGGGTGTTTAATTTTTTATCGAGGCACACGACAACGAAGATCGTTGGACGCGAATGAATATTCTATCCCCTCATTACCTTATATATGTAATGGGGCTTGACTTACTAACCGAGGAGACCAAATGTAGAGCTTACTAGGATCTTTATTCGTCGTTATTAAGACTCAAGTTACAAATATACAAGTGTGTTTCACCTTGCGTATAGTTTGTAGAACAGAATAGTGTATAACTACATCCTTCTGAGTGTAATGTGTTCTCCTGTGTACAAGTGTATCAGTGTACAAGTGAAGTTAATCGGAATCGAATGGAATCAGAATCGAATTGAATCGAATCGAATTTCGAGTTAGAGGTAGCTCTATTTATATGACCAAACTTGCTAAACTGGTTATTCTAGATGTCGTCATGATAATGGTGAATATTCATTATCTGACCAYGAYGTGACTTATTGACTCGTGAACTCTTAATCTAAAGAAACTCTTTGTTGGATGGATTAACTTATTAAGCGTCGATGGCAAAGACTTAAGTAGTGATTATGAACCAAACTGAGTAATAAGAATATAAGTCTTATTCAGTAAAGGATAGATAAATTCTGACTCAAAGTTCGTAGTCAAACAAAACTTAATTGGTGACGCTTATTAGATATTCCAGATATAAAAGTTCTACTGCTCATGCGTTAATCACTGGTCAAAAACTGGTTTTTGACGACAGCTGAAATACAGAGTAAGATTTCTCATCCTGTTCAAATAGAGTGATGAACTAAGGTGTTGTTCAAGGTCAACAGATAACGTACCATAGAAATAGTAATTAAGGTCTTACTGAAAATTGGATGTTGCTATGACAACTTGAATAATTAGAGTTCACTTGAGTCGAAATATGAGATAACTAGAAATGGCCTCGCTACAATACCCTCTCTTTTAAATTTCGAGCTCCTGCGAGAAGTATTGAAAGCAGAAAAAGATCCAAGTAGTTCTAAAGATATATTGCTTCACCGTAAACCCTTAAGAATAAATGCGATTAAATAAGTGGAAACTCTAAATACAGAGTTACCGTAAAAATACGAGTAAATGTTTTGATTAAATAGAAGTAACTGGAATAGGTAATCAATTTCAAGCAATCAAAGTGAATTGAAAATTCGAAAAAAAGAAACCGTTTCTCAGCGTAAAATTGAGTAAATACTGTAGTTAATTTTTTTGTAAGTTACTTTTTGAAAATTTTGTACTTTTTGTAAATATTTTGTTCCCAACACCGAAATAATAAGGTAAATCCGAAAAAAACCCTAAACGTGAATAAATTGATTACATAATACCAATACCGTAAATACCAAGAAAATCTTCTAGAACTTCTTAACGTCAACCTATGAAGAAAATAATACTGAAAGGAGAAACGTTAGAACCATTCTAGAAGAATATGATAAATGAGTAAATATGTTAAGATAAAGTGTTCATAAAATTGACAGTAAACTGTCAAAGTTCGTTTATCGTTCCGTGTCTATCTAAAAGTCTTGATCTTCGTGAATCGTTGAAGTCTAAACGGGTCTTCGTGAGTCGTAGAAATCAAGGCTTTATCTTCGTGAAATCGTAGAAATTCAAGTGGTAAGGGGTTTTCAGGCATCGTTGGAATCAGAGTCGTCAGGAAGCGCAGGAAGCGAGCGCTTCTCTTCACCACAATCAGGGCAACTTTCAGTAATGTGAAGAAGTTCCTCGTTAGGAGGTGGAGTAGGCAGTGGACGAGGTTGTGCTTTAACATAATGAACAAGGCTGCGGTCAGGTGTAGCTTGTCCTCTACGGCGGTGATAACAGCAGAGAACAATGAAGACTATCAGGTTGATGAGGCTGAAACAGAGTGCGATTGATGCAAGAACTAAGGCCACTGGAGTACCGGATTCTTCATGAAGGTCTTTAATATCCTTGCGGATGGATTTAAGCTTGATAGCAAGGTCACCATCAAGGCGTTTGAAGGTTTTGTCTAAGGCGTTGATAACAGTTTTGTTGAAGTGCAATGGTGGCGGTATCTGAAGAGACTTGTAGTGGAGGTTAAGAGTACTGTTGTTGAAATCAGATGGAGTCCAAGGTACATACTTGACAAGTTTCTTACGGAAGATAGGTAAAGTGATAGTAAGCTGTCGTGGACAGGTACCGAAGCCAGTGGGCAGTACTTCAGAAGTCTGGTTACAAGGTATGTGGTATACAGATAAAGGAGACATCTTGAAAGGCTGAGTGTTGAGTTGGACAGTCTGGTACTTGGTAGACAGGAAATAGCGTCCTCCAAGGTGGTATATGTGGTCAGTATCATCACATGTAGACGTGGAGTGAGAGCGGGGAAAGATCATTGAAGAGCCAGGAGACCAAGGTAAGCCAAGCCAAGAAACATCTTGCGAACGACGAGTAACAGAATCGGGACAGATCAGAGTACCATGTTGTTGGAARCATTTAGCAAGTGCATCAGATTTAAGTACAATTTTAGAGTTTAAGCAAGAAACAAGGATTAAATCGTTACGTGTTAAAGGACCAGAATAACACCGTTTGTTAATCTGATAGGTTAAAGGCAATAAGTATTCAACAGTGCAGAAAGCAGTTTTAGTTGTAATACGAGGCAAAGTTACCATGGTATGCAGAGAAATGTACCTATCTTTGTGTTCATACTGCGTCAAAGGATTCATCAAAATAGGAAAACCGTCAGCTAAAGCTTTGGCAGTAAAACGGAATTTGCGTTGTTTTTGTAATTGAGAAGTTAAGGCAGAAATTAAGGATTCAGGTAAATCACCGATGCCTACTAGTTCTCTACCCTGTATACGAGCAAATTGATTCAAAATGTCCTGAACTTCAACGAAGCGTAAAAGTGAATTATACATTTTGGAAGACTCGAAAGAATACTTAGCGGTAAAATCTAAGACAGAGTCATAATGACACTTTTCAGTCTTACCGAATTTGTTAAGGTCCTTCTTCCAAGAGCTTAAAGTAGAGTCAATATCAGAAATTTCATGAGCAAATGTATTAACCCGCGACGTTAGCTTATCGGTAATTTTCACTAACTGAACAGTTTTACCATCAACTACAGTGATTAAGGATTTTTCGTCCTGTAAAGCATTTGTTAAGTCAATAAGCGAACGTTTCAGGCCTACAAGTTTATCCGAGCTACAAGAACCTCCAAAAGAAGTATAGATCTTTCTTATAAGCCCAAGCAAGCCAGAATGGCAAGCGAAAGAACTTCTTTTAGCTCGAGCTAGTTTCTTAAGCCAAGTTTTTTCCTCCGGACTAATATTTTTGCACTTATTCACAGCCCATTGCTTACAACTACGAAGCGATGGCTTGTAAACGCGTGGACAAATCATTGTTGACATTAGCTTTGTTTCGAAAACAAAAGAATTTCTTAAGAARGTGTCACATTCAATCAAATTAGTAAAGCCAGGCATAGAAAGCATACGTCTAATATTTGTATGGGTATGGCGAACAGAAGCGAGTACTTTGTTCATAAAAGACTTTTGAGCCGGTGAACATTCAATTTTGACWACTGGCTTCTTACCAAAAGGAGTC